CGCACTAGGAAAATTTCATAACTTTTACAGCATGCTTTTATTCTAATCTCATGACATATCTTGTCGCTGGCAACAGCATGCAGAATTCAGACATATTTGCCAGCTCCGAACTTCACATAACTTAGGACGCATTCCAAGTTTATTGCCAGCTGCTTGGATGTGCTGCTGCCCTGTCGGAGTCCACAGATAAGACGCACATTATAAAGCCATAAAAGGGACGACAAGGCATAAAAATCAAATCAAATGCATTGCAATGACAATTGCTGCTGATGCTGCCTGGTAACAGGGATAACAAGGATTCATGAGATGAATTCTGACCGATTTCCGGCACATAAAGCACACATCAAATTATTATGATCGAAAATCAATGACAAAGAAAACTGACAAAATCAGCAAGTTCGACATTTGTGGGCGGGGCTCCTCCCAATTGTTCAACTGGGAGCTTTAACAGAAAAAAAAAAAACAAAGAAAAAACATGGCTTTCACATGGGTCGTTTTATTTCTAGTAAAAGCAACGCACAAATGTGTAAAGCAGATAAAAACGTGCTTATGAAAGGGTCGCAAAAGATAGTTTATGCCAGCCAAAGTTGCCATACTTTCGCCTGAATGGAAACGTTGCCAGCCTGTGGCAACAAATGCCGCTGATGGCCAGACCTAGTGACTGGACAGCGCCAGGAACAAGGACTCGTTGCAAATCGGGGCGTGTCTGAAGTGCCCTCAAAGTTCTGTTTACTTAGTTTGCCAGCCCCAAACGAGGAAATCATTTAACCCACAAAAGAGGGGCGGGGGTCCGCTTGATCCCATAGAAAAGCCTTTAAGGTGGCAACCAGAAGTGTTGCACAGCCCTTTATAAATTAAGCCGGCAGTCGAGATGGCCAACAACTAAAACAACGATTATAAACATGTTGACAAATTTCTTATGCGGCTTCCTAAACGCAGGCCATGTGCTGGCAACAAATACACGAGCATTTAAAAAGGTGGCCACGTTTAAATACCCTACTTAAAGCAAGGCACCAATGAGATCTCAGGCGAGAACTGAGGCAATGGCAAAGCACATAAAATAAATACATCGGAAATTAAATTGATAACAAGTATATGAAATTGTGATGTGACAAGGTTAATCAATAGATTATTAATTAAGTAAGTGTATTTAGTTAGCCACGGCAGCTTTTTAGTATGGAAAAGAAATTAATTTTCGAGCAATTGTTTCATTATTTAGACAAATTCAAATAAACTAGCTTATCTAATTATCTCTAAGACATTCTTGAAATGTCACCTTCAGTGCGTTACAAGCTATATGACAAAGTCAACTTGCCCAACTTAAGTGTAAAAAAAAAATGCTCAAAGTACAATTTTAAGTACATGAAAAAGTAGAGAAAAAACTGCGCACAGCAGAAGGCAACTGAGCAGCAGCTGCGTTTGATGTGCTTGCCCCTGCGGCGCACGGGGCAAGGCAATGGCTGGCTGAGGGGCCAATGCATTTTGCTGGCACATTTTTGCAGTCATGCCTTTGGCTTGAAGGTCCCAACTTTCGACAAAGTGCAACTGCAGTAGCATCAGCAGCAGCAGCCGTTGCAGCAGTTAAAGGAAACAGAAAGCGCCGTGGGACACATTTCAAGGATCTCTTTGTTTTGCGATGACATTATTAGCTTTGCGTCGTAAAATAAAGTGCTTTTTATTATAGTTGAAAATTTCATCATTTTACAATGTACTGCTACACGATATTATGAAAACAGTTTATAATAATAACAGTTCTTCGATTGCCAAAAAATTGCTGTAAAAATATTAAAGAAATTGTGTCTCTTATATATATTGTTCTATAACATTTTCTCGCCTCAACTTAAAGTACTTTAAAAGTTCTTAGCTTACGTCAGAATTTATTTTTATTACAAGCAAACACTCATCTTGTCGTCTTAAATATGTTGAAAGCTTGTTAGGGGTAGCCCCTATAAATATAAACATTTAATTAAGTCCTTTACAGCGCCACGGGCAAAAAGAAAAAAAAAACGCCAAGTGGAGCCTGAGACGGCAACTTATTTACACATGACGCGTTATTAGGATGCTCATAAAAACACATTCCTCACAATTGTAGCTCAAGCAAGACTCCTGGTAACACACACTCGCACACACACACACACACACACACATTGAGAGAGCAACTGATGCCGCTGTCAATTGCAGTTTGCATATAAATTAGCCTAATTAAAATGACAAGCGTTAAAGGAACTTTAGTTAAATGTCTGTTTGATGTTAGACGATTCCAATAATTATTCTGAGCACGCTTAGAAAATTACCGACACCAGCGGCGTGAAGCAGCCATTCAATGTAAAAGCTCCTCGAACATATATCTACTATATATATATATATATATATATATGTATGAGGAGTGCTTGCGGTTCTGCGGCCAGCTTGTAAAACTTTATGACTGAATTCGATGGTGCGTTGCATTTCTTGCAACCGGAATAACATCTTCAAGGTATTCGACTCACATATACCTGCACCAAGCACTTTAATTTAGCTGAAAATGCAAGATCTAAGAGATATTCGATGAAGGTTCGGTAACATTCAGCTAGTTGCAGGAATGCCAGAAAAATATTTCATATTTTTGTAGGTTTTTTATTATATAATTGAATTTGGTGTGGGGAATTTATTTGTTGCTCATGCCAACAAAAAAAAATGCTTGCATTGCAGGTTTCGTGCAAAATAGATATGGGCAACCAGCATACCTGACAGCGATGTTATGTCGAATTTGTTTTATTGGATTTTAATTAAGTTTGACTTATCCTAATTTAAATATTTTTTAATTCTAGTATACATTTAGCTTGTATGCAAATAGCATACATGTAGATAACAGCCTGTGCGAATGTTCCAATCATCTCATATACATTTTTTATTAAATTAACCAAATCTGAAAACTGTCCACTGCGAATAGCGAAAGTTCTTTTACAAAATATATAATTAACTAAGATTATCTGAAATTCGTATACTTAATATGCTTAGCTACAGGCCAACTACATCTATAAAACATAGCTTAGTATTAAAAGTATATCTTGTGCTTGTACTTTCTTTAGATAATCCATCTAAGAGATCAATTCCTTTCGAATAAACATAAGCATTAACGTATATCTACAATATTTATGCAATTTATTGCAAAATGAACCCATAGTATCTGTAACACGCATCCAAATAGTTTGAGTAATGATGCATGAACTGGCGCCAGTTAATCTTTTTAAGTAATTTCCCAGGCCCGGCAAAAAAAAAACCATAAAATGGCTAACGCAGAGGACATTTAACGGAAATGCAATCAATAAACTATGAACATTAAATATTATGAGTAGCCGAGTATTTCGCACAAAATGGCGGGCAATCATTTGCCCAGTGCTTTACAAATGGCAGCCATTTTGAAAAGTACTGCAAATAAAAGAAAGTGTGTGGGAAAAACTCTCGAGTCCGAAGTCTGGCAGAAAATAAAATAAAAACAAACTTTCGACCACTTTCGCCAGCTAAGTTTTACGACAGTCGAACAAAATTTTTGTGCCGTGCAAACAAAGTAAAAGCGAAAACGGAAAACGTTGCTTTCATTTGAATGGAAATTCGCCGCCCAACTCCGCCCACCCAATCCACAATCCTTTTGCCGGCAACGGAAAATCCAGCTGCACTACGTCACAGTTTAGTCGTCATTTTACAGCTCAACTTCTGCTAATGCAAAAGATGTGTAACACAAGTATTTTTCATCTGCATGTTATTCTTTTTTTTAAATACCCTGTAAGCATGCGGATATAGGTTGTATTGTATGTGCGATCATTTTGCAACAGGCGTAAACTTTTCTTAATCTTTCGTAGATATTTTTACTTATCTTAAGTTCATTAAATTTGTTATCCGTTTTTACTTTCCATTTGATATTCAGTTATTTTATTTTATTTTATTTCTTCGCATTCCATATCTTTTATTAAACATCGAAAGTTAAGCACAGCTGAGAAAACAAGCTGTGGTCATCTTTCAAAATGTTAGTACAGGGTATTACCTAGCCGATTTTAAATTTGTCATATGTTTTTGCCTTCCATTTGATATTTACATTTCGTTCGCATTCATGAAAGACTCATAAACATTTGTGTATGGGTGGATTGGGGGGTCGAGAGCAAGTCGTATGCAAGTGTTCCCGCTTGTTTCGTATATTTGTTGCCTTTGTATATATTTACGAGCTGCTTTTTCTGTTGCTGGTTGACGAGGCTTCCACCTGTGAGCACACACATACACACACCACAAGCACACACGTCGCACACACACACACACACACACACACAGATACTTAAAGCTGGGGTCTGGCTTTATTGCTGCTGACTTGCCTTTTTGTCTCCAACATTCGGAAATGGACATAAAATAAATATTTTAACAATTTATTTATGTGTATTTGCTTAATCATTTTCGGGTGCTGACTTGATAAGTGAGCATTTGTTTTGTGTGATATATAAATAATGATCCAAGGAGCGAAGAAATAGATATATAAGTATAGTACTTTATGTAAAGGGTTTACATTAGAAATAATATATAGAAACTATAAAAAGCATATATCATTTTAACGAAGCTAACACAAATATATCTCGAAATAACTCAACGCCGAACTCTACTCAAAGCTTAAATAAAAAATTTGCCCGTTTGGCAGCACTTAAATGCCTTTCGGGATATTGTAATTTGCTGAAAGTATTTAAATGAACGTTTTACACAGGTCTGCAATTACAGTGGGCTCTCATAGAAACGAAAATGCGAGGCGACAAGAGACAATTCATTTAACTAATTAAATATGCATACAGCCAGCGTGTTTTTTGCGCCAGCTTCTGGCAAGGAACTGCGAGAACCTGCAGCGAGGCGGGCAACGTTTTCTTTTAATTTTCTTGTTGTCTGTCTTGTGTGTGGGGGCAAAGTAAAAGCTTTCGAAATACTTATTAAAAGAGCATTATAACGTATATCTAATCGGACTCTCGGTCTCTTTTTTATTCTAGCTGCAAATTGGCAAATGCAAAACAACAATGAAATGCATGCTCAATGGAGAAAAGTGGCGCCAGAAGTGGCAAACGCTGGCAGCAGGAGTCGGCGGCAATTGTCAGCGGCAGCAGCAGCAGCAGCATCAAGAACAACAACAACAAGTTGCTGGCATTCGTGTAAGGGCGACAAAACAATTGCCGCCGTTGTTATTGATGCTGATGCTGCTGCTGCTGCTGTTGGCAGTTGAGCATGCAAATTCAACAACAGCGGCAACAACTTCAACAGCAACAGCAGCAACACGCCCAACGGGCACAGTAAATGCGCCAGCAACAGCAACAACAACAGCAGCAGCAGCAGCAGCATCAGCAACAGCAGCAGCAGCAATCGCTGCGGCAGCAGCAACATCCTCCTCAATGGCCAGTTCCTGGCTAGGAGCAACTTCAGCCCAAGGCAATCCATTTAAAAACCTTGTGCGAATCGGCGATGGCAACATCGTCACGCGTGTAAGTAGCGGGTGGATGGTGGTGTGGTGGGTTGGTGCTGTGGTTTTGCTGCCTTAAGTATAATTCATCATTAGTCGCAATTAGCGCCAAGTGCAATTGTTATAATTGTGGCGACTGCAGCTGCGAATAACGCCTAACTCGGCGTGCCTCGACTGCCAAGACTCAAACGACAACTAATTGTATTTGTACATCAATTGGCCGAATATTAAGTGAGCTTAGTTGGCACTAAATACGCCCCTCCCTCTCCCTCTTCTCACACCAAGCTCAATTTTCGCCTAACTAGCTGGAGAGCCTGCGGTAATCGTGAAAATCGATTAGAAAATTTCTCTAGACTTTGCAGCTTGAGTTAAACTGAAATCTAATCTGCTTTATCGATGAGCACCACTTCTAAACAGTTTAGAGCTAAGGATTAAAAATTAAAGGCTACTTAATTAATTTGCGCTCAGATAGTAGACAAAGGAGTCTTTAGAGACACACAACATTCATTGAAAATTGCCAAACATAAATTGAATACCTGTTTTCATGATTCGAACCAATTTACCGGTTTAAATATTCGCTTTTCCACGCAGGTTTTTATTTAAGACTCTGGGCTAAATGAATTTTTCCGTATCAAAATGCAATTGCTGCCTCGAATATTATTAAAGAAGCTTTTAGAGAATAAAACCTAAAGTCTACGAGACTTAGTTCCAAGTTAAAAGACTTGTTTTTAGATATACATAATATCTGCAAGAAATAGATTCGATAATTATGATTGGACAAATTCAGTTAAGAATGGAAAAGGAAAATTAGCATTAAATGAAAATTAATTAAAGTAATTAACTAATGTCCGCCACGGAGGCTAAGCAATTCAATTTTAATTTTCTTTCTCAAGCACTTAAGAGATCATCAGCCAAAACAAAGCAAAACCGAACAAAACAAAATAAAACAATAAGATGTCCGTGTGATGCCAACAATGAGCAGCAGCAAAACAATTTAAAGTCAGCCGCTTTTGGCCAACTTTTGCGCGCAGTGTAGAACAAAGCGCGGCCAATAACTCAATTTTCCACTCAAACGATGAAAAGACGAGACTGACGTGAGGTAGGCAAAAGGCTGGCCAAAGCTGTTGCCCGGCAGCAGCATTTGGGCCATGAATGTATTTAGCCAAAAATGTATTTTTAATGCGTTTGTCAACATGTTGACCAAGCAAATGATTTGGGTACGCAGTTCGGCCAGGCGGTGATGGTTGGCTGTTGGTCCCTTTTGGGCATTTATAAATACCCGTAATGAATAGAGCTAACGCCTTTTTCTCCCTCGATTTCCATGCAGACGGCCATTGAGCAATCGCTGGTGACAATACACGACATCGCCACCGAAAATCTGGGTACACTGTGCATCTCCACGCTTTATCGACCGCTCCAGGTGCCCATCAACTCGGAGCGGTTCGAGAGCAGCAGACAAAAGGCCGATTTGGCGGCATCGATACTCCAGGAAGTGGGCATCATACGACATGGCGGTGAGTATCGCATAATCACAGCAATTACCCAAAATACATCATGCACATACAAACACAAATTTATTGTTGTGTATGTCACGCTTCAAGGCTTTGGTTTGGGTTATTGTCTGATTAATATATTGATTTATATGGGCTAGCTAAATTAGCGGCTTTGGTAAGTAGCGTGCCGAGAAATTGGAACGCCGATTTGACCAATTAAATGCTTGGCAACAGCAACTACCTTTAATTATCAAGGGACACAGCTTAGTTTTCGTTATGGACTTGTCAGAATTTAACATAAGTTTCCTAAGAATCTAAGCAATTGACAAGCGCGTGTAAAAATATATATCACTTATATGACTTCTTGTCAAATTTAACTGTTTGTCAATCAACATCAACTTAAGTTTGTCACATCCTTAATATATATATATATATATATATATATGTATATGAATATCCAACTTTTTGATTGCATTTGTAAAGAATTGTGTCGAATTTTCTTATGAAATTCATTTTAGTTCTGCTCAGCTTGAGCCAAATGGCGGAAAAACAAGCTTCCTTTTGTCTGATATAACAATTTTTACAAGCCAGTTAACTAGTTATGAAAAAATAAAGGCAAAACATATGTAGGCTATGTATATGACACTCATAAATTTCGAGCAGCATTTGCTTAACCCAACGCCTTTCTTTGCGCTTCTCAATCAAAGCATTTAAGGGCGCCAGGCAATTGATATCCTTTGAGTGCCAGCCTTTTGGTGACTCTATCTAAAAAAAATTGGCTTAAATTTATTCGATTTGCAAGAAGCTTTTCCCTCGAATAATTTATGCGAGACATGAAAATTTCAAGGACCCAGCAGATAGAGCAGCAGTTGATGATGTTACGATGGCGGCGGATGCTGCCAAATTCTATACAAAATTTACATATGTAGGTGTGTGTATCCACATCTATCCTGTTGCTTGCCGGCACAGCAGCAACAACAACAACAACAACAGCAACAACAACAACAAATGACAGCAAATTTGCTTTCAGTTTATGCGATTTTTGCTGACACGTCGCACCTTTTCAGAGCTGACATGGAGTGGCGGCTGTACATCGGTCGGGGCTCCGTGAATGCGGGAGGAGCATCAGTGTGCGCACAAATCAAGCGCTTGTCCAGGACACAAAGGCAACTGGTGTGCCTCAACACTCAACAAGCAGTTGCTGTTGCTGTTGCTGTTCCTCTTCCTCCTGTTATTATCCTGCGACTCTGTGCGATGAGTTCATTGTGCGTCTGTTGTCCTTGACTGCGCAGCTATACGTACACACACACAGATAGATATACAGATAGAGATATATATATATATATATATGTATTCATATACTACATACTGATAGCTCTGACCGACCGCCTGTTGTCAAGGCTGCTGCTGCTTCCCTTGACTGGGACCCGGCCGCGGATGGGGGTAGCGCATCGGGCATTTTCCTCGCTTTTGGCGTGACAGCGCGCTGCGTCTGCCTTTGGGGCTGACAACGACGCACTTGTGGCGCATCAAACGTCCTGCCAGCGTCTGTCCCCTTGCCCTCGCCTTCGTCCTTTGCCTTACGCAACACGCATGCAGCTGGCGCTTGCTGCCAACCTCCCCTTTTGGTTGCCTTTTGGTGTCGTACACATAATGGTATTCTTATGCCCTTTTAAAGGGGTATTTTAAGTTGATCATTCAATGTGTAACCCATCTTCAATGCTCGCACATGTAAGCAAAATCTCATTAATATCGAATTACTATATCATAGAAATATATATAGAGAATCGGTTGAAAACTAAAATATGTTTTGTTTCTCCTCGCATAGCTACAAGCCCGCAGGTCACGTGTTTGAAAGTGTATTCAATCTTCGGCTTGCCGCACATTCTTGTTTAATTTGAAGTTGTGCTGTGCCCTTTTCATTCATCTCTGATTTAAGCAACGCCTTTATGTGTCCCATCAACTTTTACACGATAAACAAGCAAATGGACAGTGTGCTCTGATTTCTGTTGAATCAGTTAAGGGAATTTCACGCGAATAACAAGCATACGCAACGTTGTACAGCGACATATCAAACTCAAAGCAGAAGTGTTTTTTTTTTATTACACATGAATATTTGTACAATAGTTGCACTTTATTGACAATAATAACTATGGAAAATATATCACGTGCAAGGTTGTTTACATATTCATTTTTTATCTGCCATCAATTTCATTTTGTAAACTCAACGAATTTTTGTTACAAAATAAAAATGAAAAAATACATGCAAACTGTGGTTAAAGGGAAATCACTTTAATGCAATTGTTACCAAATATTTTGGTATTTATTTATCCCTTAATTGAAAAAACCGAAATCAAAGACTTTAATTGAATTTAGGTATATTTATATAAGGTATGCGCACAATTTCAGCCAATAAAATCTGAATGCCAGCAAATTTTTTGGTTATTACAAGAAGAAAAACTAAAAACAAAAATAAAAAAAAATGCGAGCTTTTGAAATTAAATATATTATAGCTTGCATAAAAGCAAGCATATAACAGATGTGCGATACGAAACGAGTCTGAGATAAACTCAAAAAAAACTCAATTCCTCAACAATTGTTCTTTCTTTTAGCTTTATTATGATGTTAAGATTTTATTATATATATTAGCTCCTTGTAACTTCTGAGTTTAGTAAGCATATCATCTAGTTTTTATGCTAGATGTATTACTTTAATTATCCATATCAATCGCATCAAACAAGCAAATAAAGTTCTATGTCATATTTCATCAGAAAAGCTTTCTTCCGGCTAACCAACATAAATTACACTTTGTAGCTCACATTGTAGCTCATACTAGAGAAATAAAAGGGCATCTTTTAATTAATTTACAGTTGTATGAACTGTGGTCTCAAGAGAAACCAAATTCAAAAACCAATTTCAACAAGAAAGAAAGGCTATCTCTGGTACGTCGAAGATCTAATACCCTTGCAGACCCAACCTGTTCACAGGAAAAAAAGTAAAGTTTGGGCAAGATATCTTGAAAAACAGATTGTTCCTATGGCAGCTATATGATATAGTGGTCCGATCCAGTTTTGACATATGTGCTGCTAGCAACAGAAAGAGATACTTCTGCAAAGTTTCATAAAGATAGCTGTAAAACTGAGGGACTAGTTCGTATAGAAACAGACAGACGGGCAGACGGACATGGCTATAACGACTGATCAAGAATATATATACTTTATGGGGTCGGAAATGTCTCCTTCTATGCGTTACGCATTTCACGACAAAATTATAATACCCTCTGCAAGGGTATAGTTAAAACTTTGCCACTTAGATTACTATATATGAAACTACATACATACACACATGCCTTTTTTCATCTCAATTCCTTTTCTATTTGTTCAATAACACATGCATACATATGTATGACTCTGTCTTCCTTTCCTTATCGTGTTTGTCACCAGATTTATTGAACAGTGATTAATAAAGAAATTGGCAGAAAATTAAAGTCAGATTTCAATTTTAAAAATTACGATTTAACATTTTTCAAAAATAAATATAATATTTAATTATGGGCTTGACATATTGCTAAGAAACACATAAACAGATACTCTGTATAAATGTTATATTATATTTATATTTGTATATTAAGTTGTCCGTTATTTCCGTTATATCGGCATCTCTTCTTTATACTCGGCTGTTTCCTAAATTTTAAATGCACTGTGAGAAATTTTTAATCTATTAATGAAATAATAAATAAATAATGAAAAACGTATAAAATGTTTAAGTGCCAATTAAGGCAGTAAGTATTCAGAAAAATATAATAAAAAAGTTATTCTGTGTTGTACTCGAAAAAAAGAAACTGCATACTAAAATATGTATATCGATAATTTATTTCTGTGTATTAGTCACACGTGTGCCGTGCGCCGTGTCAGAGCCTGTAGAGCCGGAGTGTATTTAAGCGCAGATAAGTTCCGGGTTTATTCCAAATTGGAAAATATGCCTATAATCATGGGATGAATAAAATCAGTGGCATAAGCGAAATTAAAAAGAAGTGCTAAAATAATCAAAATAAGAACACCAAACATATATTGACTGATGTGCTAGCTGAGTAAGTACAAATTATATTGAAATCTTAATTAGTGCAAGACATGCGTACTTAGTATGTACATGTTTTTATGCCTGTACATATGTAAATAAAAGCAAGAACAGCTTTCGCAAAAAATTGTATATTACATATTTATATACATATATGTATGAATATATATAAGCTTCTCTCTACTTGGCAAATATACTTACGCATTTTTTGGCGCGCAACTGTATGTGCATGCATATACGAAGTAGAAAGAAACTAGCAACACTATGCAACAAAGTTGGGCCTTTGTCTGCGTTAAGGCTGTAACTTTAAAAATTTAAAATCAAATTTTTAATCAAAAAGTTAACCATAAAAGAAATTATATGCTTTGCTGGTTCGCACTTTATCTATAGTATAAAGTAAGGTTGCAGCCTTACTTCATTTTTGCTGTGAAATAAATGTGTAATAAAAATTGTATTTTAATTTACTGCATTTTATTTTTATTTTTGTCTAATCAATTAGGAAAACTAAAGGAGAACAAAAGATTGAAATAAACTACGACGCTGTTAAACGCACTCTGCAAAGAAAGAGACCTTCTTACCAAGGTCTCCAACTTCCCCACAGGCCGTCCGTTTAGCTTTTGAAGACGCAAATGTCATGTGCAAGTGCAATTCGCAAAAACAGTTTTCCAAAAAAGTATACTTATCGACTTCATATAAGATAGTCGCTTTGATGCAATCTAATATTCCGGAGCACATTAAGCCCTTTCGGGGACTTCAAGGAACTTTAAATAATTTACATTAAATACATGCAGAAGGTAACTTTTTTTTTTGTTTAATTTAATTTATTAATTTAAATTTTATTATTTAGATAAGCCCATGTATATTTGTTTTGATGACGCGAAAAACGGAGCTCTGCCATCAGCATTTGTTAACATATATAGACTCCAACATTTGCTGCTTAAATT